CTTGAAGTTTACCCTTATTCTTCACTCAGGGAGACTGAAAGAGAGGAATTGAAACAGGAGGTGAGGCAGTCATCACAGGCATCCCCATGCAATCGGTCGCAGGAGAGAAGGGCACAGTGCAGGTCTTCCAGTGAGGGCAGTATGTGTTCTTATTCAAGGATCCTAGAGGGGAAAAGAAAAAAAATCTTTGTGTGGTGGGGATGGTGTTTTGTGGAGGGCTACCAGGCATTGTAGAGGTTGGGCAGGATGACACCTTCTATTCCTGCCCCTTGTTGAGCCCCTCTGTATGTACGCTTATGTCTCTGATGCCTTGACATTCCTGTTACACCGATTGAACTGATTTAAATCGTGATTTTGGTCAATAAACTCTTGGTTTAAATTGGTGCTTTAATCTCATTTTGCTTTGGTATTTTTGTATTTGTTTTCTCAGAAGTATCTATTGGTAGACAACCGTTAAAATATGTTGCTAAATATAGCTTTACACTAAATTTGGCACTACTTTTTTGTTACTTTAGAGGACACATGGTTTGCCTGCACACTTTCTAACTGATTACATGGCTTCCATGCATTTATTTAGATTGCAACTGTTAAGAAAGTTTGGATTTACGACATGTCAAATTATGCTTTTTTTTTTTTAATTGTGGCCTTTAAAAATGTCCTATTTAATAAAGCTACACTCATGCATGAACACACATGTGCATGCGAGTTAATGAAAATAGAGTTTGCACTTAAAATGTAAGTAAAGTATTATCCCTAATAAGGTGACCGATTCCACTGTAACCAAATGCAAGCTTTTAGAACTAGTAGAACTCAAAATTCTCTGCTTTGCTTTCTCAGATGAGGAGGAAAACAAGTGATCTTGCTTTCTCAATTCCCAGTTAGTTTCTCAACTTTACACCAAACTCCACTAAGTGACTCATGGAGCAAAGACATTTTCTCTGCAAATGCAGTGGAAGTTACTACTTTCAGGTAACTTAGTTGTAAACCTAATAATTGTTCCCAGTCCTTCGATGAAGACTTACCTGTTCAGTATTTGAACTTTGTTTACGGTTTTGACATCAAAAATCTGTAATGTATTTTAATTTAATATAAATTGAGTTATATAATATTACAGTAGAATCTAACATTGGCTTGTCATAATTTAGAGGTAAATAACAATTAGACTTTTCTAATTAAAATACATTAGCATCAATAACATCTGATTGAAATTTGAGTCTGATTTCTTTGTTCAGAAAGGATTCATTTGTAACTGTATCTCTTTCTGTTAAGCTGAATGTATTTTCTCAGACAGCTTCAATATCTATTATCCAAAGTTTCCGTTTGTAATATTGCATGCCTTGGGCAGTATCTTCCGCCATTAAGGAATGCAGAGTAGCTCACTAGGTGTCACTGTCGCCATATTAACCTTTTTTTCTGGGAGCTAGACCCCTCTGTGGTTTCTAGCAGAGATAGATCAACAGATACCCATCTGTTTGCACAGTTATGTCCTTAACATGAAAAAAAATTGAAGTGATTTTTTTTTAAAAGATTGCTATTGCAAGCTTGCACAAGACTATGTGGCATGTGACTGTGACTTTAATGGTTGAGAGGGGGACTGTATAACTTCCAGGAATGAGTCTAGCACCACTGGTGTCCAGAAATGAAGTTGGTTTCTTGATGCTGAATGCATTACTAATGTATTAGATTAAGAAAGAGTAAGAAAAAAAAAAAAAAAAGGGTAAATATGTCATAGGAACTCCGTGGGCTACACGGGTAAAGAATTCTAACCCCCACCCTACCAAAATATTAATAGCATCTGGGCAGAGTCAGGGAGCTTGATAACATGTATTGACTCTGCAGCTCCACGCAGTTTTTCTGCAGCAGGGGAACTGTGTTGCAGTATCTGTGACCATTAAGGAATGCAGAGTTAGACCTCAGGTAGTAGAAGGCTTGTGCTCAGAAATGTAGAGTGTGTCTGAGGCCTGGTGGCACAGTTATACAAACTACTTAATATATTGTAATTTTGCCCCTGCCCCCCCTCTCCCCCCCCAAAGGAGGAGTTACAGACTTCAAGAAGTGTTTTTATGGCCTTCTCTCCCCAGCGCAAACAGGTTTTGTGATCCTGTCTTTGTCCTGTTTTTCCATGTTCTTTTGTATCAATATATAGGGTATTCAAAGTCTCAACAGTTATTGTGGTCTTGTATAACTAAATATAAAAAGATAAGATTAGAAAGCCAAATAGAAATAGGAAGAAAATCGAAGCAAAGGTCAAGATGCTATTGTAGGTCACAAGTGTTTAAAACAGTCAATTTTTAAAAAAAAAAAACAACAAAAAAAACAACCCTCCCTTAAAACATTGAAATGGGAAAATTACTGACTATTACCTATTCTTAAGAAGAGAGCAAGCCAAAGCAAGATGAATCACTCTTCCTGAAAGGGTCGTCATTTTCATTTTCACATACGTTTGGTACAAGATCAGTAAGAAACTAAAGTAGTTGCATATTTAGGCAACTTTTCTGATGGAAGCTGTTTATTGCTGAAGCATTCATGTTTTATGAGGCTACCCTAAGACAATTAGCTCTTGTTTAGCATAAGTGTTTAAAAAGAATGCTTTACTAATGTGGCTGATTTTATAGTTATTGCATTTCCATAGGATTGAACCATTCTTGTTCTAACTTGCTTTCCACCTCCCACCCCCCTCCTTTAGACATGTGCAGTGTTGAGGCTTTCTTCCGTTTCAGAAAATAAGTATTTGAGCCAAGAATTTTCTCAGGAGAATTCGTATCTTTGAGGGTGTTCTGTCTGAGATGTCTCAGAGAAGCCTGTTACTCAGCATGTGCTTAGCTGTGTTTTCCTGCTAGGCTACGCTGAAATGGGCTACTGGTCAGGCTAAAAAAATCTGGATATAAAATTCACTTTGGTCTGAATTCAGAGTTGGTGTGAGCTTGTGCAATTCCACCGAGGCTGCTGAACAGAATTTGGCTGCATTAGTCACGGGGATTGTGGCAAAACCACCTAGGAGCAGTGTCTGTTTAAAATATTGCTGTAACTACATCAGTAACACTTGATTGGAAGAATGAGACACCCGCACTCCTTTTTGGTTTTTATTTGTATTTTATTTTATGGGAGGGGGGGTGGTCCCATCACTGCAATTAAAGCTCGCTTATTTCCTTTTGCCTTGGAGAGTTAGTCAGATGGATCGATTTAGTGAAACAATCCCACCAATGGTCCATATTTAGATGACAGGCCAGTCTTTTTCTTGAAACAATTTTATACTCGGGAACTTCCAGAAAATCCTATCTTCACAACCAGAAGCGTTTCTGCTAGTGCTGAACCAAGCTAGTGTCGCTGCCAAGCAGTCTGCTTTCATGGCAGCTCCAGCCAAGCGCAGAGGGAGTGCAAAGGCAGGTTCACTGTCTTAGCCTGAGTGCTCCAGGTTTGTATAAGGTAAGCTGCAGGGAAATATCCTTTGCAAAATATCACACATATACATCGTATGGTTGCAAAACAGATTCTGTCGCCTCCCTGGGTACTTTTCCCCCACACACCCTTAAAAGTGACAGGGGCAACTAACTGTATGTGTGATTCCCCCGCCTCCCATCCAAAAAGGAGCTATGCTGTTACCTGGGAGCTGTGCCCCATTAGGTCTAATCACTGTCACACTTTGTTCAGTGAGAACTTTGCTATTGACTTCAGTGGAAATAAATTCTGACTTGTAAGAAAACCTTCATGAATCTCATTGAGGATTCTTTAAGGATCATCTGTACTTTACTGGTATAATGAGACAGGTGATTGGTGTGAATTTTACTGTTGTACAAATACAGGTGAAAGTATGAGCATGGATGCAGTAACCTTAGAATAAAGGTACAGTATGCCACTACAACTTCTTCAGCTAGAGAGACCAAAAAAAAAAAGCACTAAAATACCTTTCACAAGGATGTGCTTGCATTTCTGTAAGTTTGCTTTTTTGCCCTTTGAGGTGTGCTGTGGTATAGTAACTGGTGCAGAAATGCAGCGCGAGCACACAAAAAATCCCTTGCTAGGTATACACTAGTATTCTGGTGCTGTAGTACTTGTTCTGACTGTGTTCTGGTGAAACAAGACTCTTTTCTGAGGTAGGCAAATTCATAGAATAATGCATAAATTATACTCTGATGGTGCTAGGAGTGAAGAAGAGTGATCTTGGAGTGAGTTTCTAGTAAAATGTGTCCCAGACACTGAATGAACTTCTTGAAATACAAACTGGGGCATACACAATGCTGTATCTATTACAATTTACTATTTAAGCTTAAATGTATTCAGAGGGATGGGTGAAAATACATTCCAACTCTGCACTTACATTTTAGCAAGCAAATTAAATGTTAGCAGTTCCTTCTAGGATTCCAGAAAAGGGTGAAAATTGTGCCGAATGGAACAGGGGAAAAAAAACCCACTGGCTAGTGTTGCAGTTTTTACCATTAACTGGCTTCATGATCTCGGACAGATCACTTCCTCTTTCTTTCTCTCTCTGTTTCTCCATTTACAAACTTGGGATGGTGATGGCTTCTTTCTTTGTAAAGTGTTGTGCAACCTCTGGAAGAAATACTTGGTACCAAGTATCAGGACAGAAAGTTGAGAAGAGTCATTGAGGGTTTGGGATTTGTTTGGTTTTTTTTTTTTTTTTTTTATTACCATGTGCTGGCTCTATCATAGGGTAAAATACCAGTTGCATTAATTGTGGTGATGTTACAATATTTGGGGAAAATTTTACACTGAGGCTGTTTTGTTTAATGTTTGTGAAGATCTAGAAAAGACGCCTGCTTCTTTCTCTGGGGAGATGGACTTCAGGTTGACTTTTAGCATTTCATCCTACCAGATTCTCAAAACAATTAACTTTCTAAACAGGTATATAAACAAAGTCTTTAAGAGTGTGTACTATAGAACGTAGACGGTGTTGTCATTCATATGTGTTACATATTTTGTTAAACAGCACGTAATTGGGGTGTAATAACACTTTGCTCTCCTATTGTGTACTTTTACAGGCATCAACTAACTACATTTTACAAACATTTCAGAACCAGTGTTACCGCCCCTGTTCTGCAGATTGCAGAGTAGACCCAGGGATGTTCAGGTAAGACCAGATGGCTGATGGCAGAATCAAGTACAGAACCCCCTGAAACTTCCTGCAAGTTTCTACATCACTGTTAAATTTATTACACCAGCTACCTCTTTGTTATCAAAACATCTGCCCTGTATATATTACAGATGCATATATACAGTGCATATATTACTTTTCCATATTGGTGGGTGAAAAAAAAGATAGCGAACTGTCATCTATCGATTTCAGGCTTATCGGTTGAGTATTTGCGAACTTGCCAAATCCGTTACCATCCAGGTTCAGTTCAGAACTCTTCTACTGCATTTAAGAGCTTGTCCTGCATGATAGAAACACAACCATGTAGGTTAGAGCTTTTGGACCTGATGTTTTGTTCTTCCAACCCAGGGTCTCTTAACTCAGTGCTATGTGAATATTGCCCTCCGTTCTTCCTAATTCTCTGAAAGTTACTTTTGCAAGGATGCGTAAGCATGTTCTGTTTGTGGTCTGAGATGTGTGAAGGTGATAGAAACGTATTTATGGTGGTTTCAGGCATGAACTAAAATCTCCTACTGCTCAGAAGGGCTGCTTAGGCCAGGCTTGGTCTGTACTTTAATATTTCAGAGTGTTCAGCTTCTTGCTCTAAGGACTGTCACAAGTGGTCTGGAAGGAAGTTAGTGTCGGTGGCAGTGTAGGATTTTGTGGGGCACTTCGTAGTTCAGGTCCCAAGTTTAAACTTGTAGTTTCATAGTAGGTTGGTAACAAGGAAGCCTAATGACTGTCTTTTAAAGCAGATTAGATTGAGAATCTATGCATCTCGTGCTTTCTTTTCTTAGGCTAGTACTGTTCAGAGCTGTGGACTTCTGTGCCGACCTAGGGTTTTGAGCATGTTCCGCTTTCTCAGCTGGCACACAGTCTTGAGAATACCAGAATTTGATTTCACAGAAAATTCTTAATATCTTGCTCACCTTCTGATTTCAAATCCAGCCATCTGTGTGCTATACTGTGAAATAAAACAATAGAAAGATAAGATGATAATCAGTAGATCCCAAGGGAGTTATCCCCCATCCTTGTTCTACAGTTCCAGCCAGCGCTGTCAAGTTTTTTAGCTGCTGACCTTTTTTTTAAATGCTGCCAAACTTACATATTTTGGACTGAGTTTTTGCTCTGTTTCGTTTATCTTTAGGACAGGGGCCATGTAGGTTTTTCATCTGAGGGAGATGGGAAAGAATTGCTAGAATAAAAATATTTACCTCTGAGGAAAAAAAAAAAAGCAAAACTGAAAACCAACTTCTTAAAAAAACCCAACAAAACAAAAAGTAGGGAAATAGCATATAGATCTTAAGGAGCTTGGCCTGAAGAATGCTGGTCCTGCTTGCTGTCCAAAGAATTGATTTTTATTTCACAAATGCAAAATTTTTTTGTTTGGTTGTTTTTTAAGAATTGTGCTTCAGTTGTAGAGAGGACAAAGATCTTATATATTTGATTATTTTAGGGCCCAGTCCTGCAACGTGTCTGTCATAGCAGTCTCCCTGAGCTATTGCAGTTGCAGGATTGAAGCCCTATGTGCAGCTAATCTTACAGGGACCCGATCCTGCTCTGAGACATTTTGGCACAGATCCTCAGGCACATGCACAGTTCTGGGTAAGCTGTTTTGGCTTGGCATCGATGAAACAATTGGTGAAGATGGATCTGATTGTGGATTCTAGTTTATGAAGCAGTGAGGTTCCTCTTGGAAATCTGATAAGGCTTGTTATATGCAGAAGTTTGTAAATTCTGTAACCTGAGTCATTTTTTTGAGGTGTTTCTTAAGAAATAGAGACAACTACATTCAGAACTTTCCTCCTTTCTCCTTAAAATGTAAGGCTAAACAGTTGACAGCGAAAGGAGATGAATAAGGGTATAGATAAAAACAGAAGGGGTAAGTGGCCCAGTAGTGGGGGTTTTCTTAATACTTCTTCCTCCAATTAATACATGAATAAAGTAATTATGTAACTGCTTGGAAAGTTCCTTCAACAAAAGTTTGCAAAAGTCAAATAATGTTTTTGCAGAAAAAATAAATATTCTGCGAAAAACTAAAACAAATCTCACCCTGACAGCTAAGGAGTAGTGTTTCAGATGGGAACCAGGCTGAAGCCATGCTGTGATGCTTCCTTGACCTGGACCAGATGCTTCTAGCTCCTTAGAGAGCTTGCAACTTTAAGCAAAGTCAGTGCTGATCAGTTTTCACTGCTAGTGTTCAGAATGCTGTGGACAACAGTGAGAACTGAAAGTCATCAGGTACCTTTCAGTCTGCTGCTGCTTGGGAGTGCTGTTGTTATCAGGTCCAACTCAATTACACTCACCAAGAGGAGGAATTCTAGTCAGGGTACAAGAAGTGTGTCTACGCTGCGACTCATTTCAAACCATCCTGGAGAGTAAGGTGGTGGCTCAACTCCCTGGTACTGCAGTTAGACTGCTATGAGCAAGTAGGCAAGCTGAAAGTTAGCTCAGGGATCTTCCTGTTGCATTCGTTATACTGCAGAATATAGGACTAGTAGAGAAAGAAAATGGGAATAAGAGTATATGGCAGGATATGATTCGCCTGCATCAAAGTGAAGTTTCTTGTAGGGTCCTAGTATTTTCCTCTCACACTTTACAGCGTTATGGAGACCTGCAGTGGGTGTTGGATCTGATCCATTCTGGTGCTAGAGCGTGCTATTTCTTTTTTCTCTGTAGCCAAGGACTGAAGGTGGCTCTTAGATACAAGTCTGCAGTTACAGTGAGACTGACTTAAGGTTGTGGCGCTCCAGAGCAGGGAAAAGGCTGAACCAAATAGCTCGTGACGAGGAGATGTCTGTATTCCTAATACCTAGAGTGAGGTAAGCATATAGTGGTACCTGGGCTGCCCCTGCAAGGTGTCGGCTGTATCTGGGGCAGGTAGGGTATGCCCTGCAGTTCTGACACCCTGATCATCCAGATTGAGGACTCTCTTTCTAGAGCTCCCTACCTGTTTGTCTGTCTGGGTTTCCTGTAGTGAAGATTGGGATGGGTAAGGACAACTGTGAGGAACATCTTGGTGTGTCTTCCAGACAGAACACAGACACAGCTCAGTCTGGGAGGCATTCTCAGTGCTGGAGCTGAGGTGTGGTCAGAGGTTGTCACGGACACCTCTGAACTTTGGCTTCTAAGTTAATTGTATGGCTACTAGGACTTTAAGAGTACGTAGGAGTAGATAAGGGGGGAGGAATACGATGGTTATCAGAGACAACCCCACTTGTGAAGTTACCTGGGAAGCTTGTGAGATGGTAAAACTTGTTATTCGATATCATAAAATTTCTGTCCCTCAGGTATACTGTGCCAACTTGTTTCATTGCCCGACATTTTGTCGTTGTTTCAGTCTTTAGCAAAAATGCATTCTGCTTATTGATGAAAGAGGACATTCCTGCCGCATTCCCTTTGGCTGTGGATCTGTAATTATTGTTCTTGAGTTTATTTATGAGCTACTGAGGCCTTTACTGGAGATGATTTGACGTCAGGAAGACCTGTTCCTCCTTTGAGCCTGACAGTTTTTCCTTTACCAGAAGGAAGTTCCAAAGAGTTAAATTTGCTCAGTTGGCATCAAGTACACAGCATGGTAGATCTCCAGCGGGTTCAGTGAAGCAGTTGTAGGATGATGGCGGGGGGAAGAAGTGCTCCCTAACTGTTGTTGCATGTCTGTGCATCTGTAGCAAATCAATTACCTCCGAGAATAGAAAGGAGCAGGTTCATTGAGGCTGTTGATCAGGTTCATGGAGTCACATCATCCACACTCCTCTGTGCTGTTTCATTTTTGAGATCTGGAGCAGCAGAGGCTTTGCTTAAACAGAAAGAGAACCTCATCTCTTCTCTATTGTCTGCAGCTGCTATTGTCTTTTGCACCTCCACAAAGTAGGTTTGGTGCGTTGCCTGTCTGAGGGGGCAGTAGACAACATGTAAGATGTGAGGACAGAGATCCATGGATCTTCACCTGCTGGTTACTGTGTTGAAGAACTTCTTTCATTCCAATTGTCTCATTCTTCTTTGGAGAACTACATTGTCTGCCCTGTATGATACGGGTGGAGGGGGGTGAGGAGGTAAGAAACATTAAATCGACAGTCAAATCGCAGTTAAAAAGTAATCACATGGAATCGGGTCTTTTGGGAGAACTGGATGTGTATTATCACTGTATCAAAAGTTAAGCACATGCATCATTCCTTATAAGACTGAGATTATTATTGAGTTTCAGAATTGCACCTGATTGCAAGGATTTTCAGCCTAAATTGATGTTATTTCTATGTGGAGTCTATTTCAAATATGTGAAATTTACTGCTGGTGACAAGTATTTGATCATAGTGTTATTTTAAACTTAGCTGCATCAGCTTCCAAAACTTAGGATTCTTGACAGATATTTAAATATTTAAAACACCCTCCATAAGATTACTAAATCCAGCAGTTCAACTATATAAACAATGATAGGAATATTGTACCAGAAAAGACTCAAAATGGCATACCCTCTCCATAAATATTTCTCTCTTATTTTAACATTCACCATGGTGAAACACAAGGAAAGTAACTCCTGAATGTTTATTTGTTTTAACTGACTAGCTTGCTGCTGAAACAAGCTTTCAGGGAAATCCATGGAGTCCCACAAGGTGGCAGGAGCTAACTGTTCTGTACTAGAGCCGTGGTCTGAAGGAAAGTAAAGGTAATAAACTGATTTTGCTAGTTGCACGCATTCGACTTGTGAGCAAGTTAGACCAAAATTTTAAAAATCCACCTTGTGTAGGTGTTTCTTGGACTTCTGAACAGAATTGGGGCAAATGAATGGAATTCTGTCTTCAAGTATCTTGCTTCAGAAGTGAAGGTTCAAGCATTCTTAACTTTGTCGACAAAAGGGACTTCTATTTTCACTCCGTGCTGATAACTTGCTTGAAATGTGCACCATCACTGTGAAAGAGAGGAGGGATGAAGCTGTGCAGGAACTTGCTGGCATATGAAGTTCACAGTTTAACAAATTGGCAGTGAGCATCTCTAAC